GGCAGTGGCCGCTCTGCGATGCGCTCCCAAACATCTGTTCTCTGGATTATCCCCATCTCCTTCTCATGCTGTCTTTCTCTGGAGCATTCCCTCTTCTCCTCTCTCAGGAAGCTCAGCCCCGTGCGTTTGTCCCGCAGACAGCTGTACACTGTGTACTCGAACACTCTGTGGTCGTTCTGTTGACCTGAGAGAGGTTCAGCGTGATATCAGCCGCCAAGTTTTCTGCACTCGCTGCTCCTCTCGGCAGCCCGGGGAAATTATTTGTTCAGTTTTAACTTACTAACTTGTCTGTTGCCGATTTGAGGTCCATCTGCTTAATGTTTCTTCATGCAATTTGATTTTGTTATCTCTATCTCATGTAGAAATATTGGCTTCGAGCCTTAAGCGCAGTATTTCCTTATTTACTGATTTGCATTAAGGTTGTAAAGAAAAGTGAATAAAACAAACCGTGTGTTGGAGAGAAACTCCCTCTGGGGGGAACACAGGGATGTAAGCCTTTGCAGCCCATTTACACGCACAAAGACATACTGTATATAACTCACTGGGAAAAAAAAGAAGATCTGAAAGTGAAAAGCAATGTGAAACCTGAAAAAACAAGATTTCAAACTGAAAAAATAATTGTTTTGAATTTGAAAACGTAAAATCTGCAACTGAAAAAAATAGGATTCAAATATCAAAATATGTATAAAAGTGAAATATTTTATTTAAAATAATTGCTGAACTGAATCAAAAATAATATTCAACCTGAAAAATGATTTAAAATACTTATTTTTGATTTGAATACATCATTGTATTTCTCAAAGTTCAGGATAAAAACTTGAACTTTCAAATAAATTGTATTTTTTTGAATGATCAAAACGTATGACCCTGAAATAGCTCCATATCACTCACAGGAAACACCAACAAGCGTAACAGGGCCTCTTCAATTAAATCATGCAAGACTGTAACGTTTTTTTTTTTGTGTGTGAAAGGAATCAGATTTTTTAAAACCAGGGGTTGTTTTCAGTTATAAAATGCAACATAGATTTCTTAAGCCAAAAGTCACACATTTCTTCAATGAAACCTATTTTTAAATTACAAGCGCTCATCTAAAAACGGTAACAAAATTGACATAAACCTAGATTTATGATTTATAAATATAAGCCTTTTGGTACTTTAATCTTACTTGCATCACATNAAGTACAATGTGTTGCAGAAACTCCCTCTGGAGGAAACACAGACCATTTACATGCACTAAAACCTAGGGCTGCTCAATTAATCGTATTTTAATCGCAATTACAATTATGGCTTGCAACGATTACGAAAACAACGTAATCGAAATAAAACGATTATTTTTTAATTATTATTATAACTTTTTTTTTTTTTTTAAATAACTTTTTTTTTGTATTGGTTTTTCAGTTGAATTATACTTAAAGTTCAGGGTAATCAACTGTTAAAAACATACTGTTCACATTTTTTCTCCAATAAATTCATGTTTTCAATGGATGGTAAATGGATAATCGTTTTTAATAATCGTGATATCAATTATTGACCCAAATAATCGAGATTATGATTTTTGCCATAATCGAGCAGCCCTACTAAAACCTATATTACACACTACAGGAACGGGAACATGCCAAAAAGCATAATAGGGCCCATTAAGGTTAAGAAAATGATATTTGTTGAAAACATATTTGTATTCCTCAAGTAAAGTATAACAAAATATAAACATAGATTGACATTGATATGAGTACGTTTAGTTTTAAAAATATATCAAAAACATAATTTAGCAGCCATGCATATAAACGAGAAGGAGGCTTCATAGAGATATTTGTTAGACTGTAAGGTGAATGAACTGAGTCTCACTCTCCACACCCCGCTGTGACTCCTCTGTCTGCAGTCTCATCGCACTGTACTGTGCTTGTAGGGCAGAGCAGCTCCAAACAGCAGACGTCTGCTTTAATAATGGACCCAGCGGGCTGAAATTAGCCGCTCCGGAGTGAACCGGCACTAAGCAGTCCTACACGTCTTTGGAAGAGGAAGCCTTTGATTTAGGACACGGCAGAAACACGCCTGCAGAAAATCCCTTTTTACGTGTATTGGAAATAATACTTTTTCCCATCTCTCTTCTACATTCTTTGGTCCGTTTCATTAAAACGATCACATTTTTTTGCACAGAGCCCTAGTTAAAGTCAGGTTTCTTGAGAACTCTGAGTGTATGAGGTTTTTCTCGCCGCCATATTCCCGTTTTGCCGCTGATGAAGCTGTCAAAAGCACAGTTTGGCACGTCTCACTGTTTAAGTGTAATCACAGTTTAACTTGGCTTGTCTTGTCCTGTCATGTAATAGTTGTTTAATGAAGCAGCAAATGGTGTTAGTGTCTCCCACCAAGCCTGAGTCTATGTAAGCGATGGCATTTACTGTATCTGTAACACAGTTTTTCAGCGTGTGCTATAAGCCTGACTGACACTCAGAGGACAGACTGTGTGTATCTGCTGCTGGGTAAACCCACAGGCTGGATGCAGAGCGGAGTTTCTGGTTTGGTTTGTCAGAGCGAATCTGCAGAATAAAAACACATCTGCCCACCTGCTGGTTTTGAGGCAAAATGTACACGTGCAGGAGAACAAAACAAAAACCTTTTCTTCGCTTTCCAAACACAAATACGTCTCTGCATCAAGTAAATCTCAAGGCCAATGTTTTCAGATTGTTATAGTGTGTTTATACTAATGTCAAGCAGGCTGTCACCTCCAATTTGGGTGGTGGTTGGTGATACGAAATATCAGATAGTTTCCCTTATACATGGCAAAGCAAATTGAAACAGACCCCACTGTGCACAGTTTCTTTTAGGAAATATTGCAAACCATTGATTCTCTGGATTATATGTTTACAGTTAGCAGTGCTGCTATGTAATGTTTAAACGTCACATTCTAGTATTGCTTGTGCTCCTTTGAACCTTGTCTGAGGTGATACCAGAAAAAGAAAAAAGAGTCATATCGAGTATAGACGTAACATGCATTGGAAAGCTGGACATAATGTCACTCCCTCTGACCTGGATACTCAGTCTGCTGAAACAAGACGTCAGCATCGCCTGGTGATCAGCGCACTGCAGCCAGCATCAATTATTCCAAACACTCAGCCCTACATAGTGGAAACGAGCTAATGGAAGCTAGCCAAGCAGTGGTTTTGGCACGTATCCACTTGTTTTCAAAATCTAGGTCACCAAATGGTTTTTGAGAGTGTTTAGTGAAACACTGCGGCTCCACTGGAGAAGAAGACAAAAAAAAGAAAGAGTGGGAGAGAGCATTAGGGTTATGAGAATTAGTATTTGAGCTGCCTTTGCTTTGAAAAAGGTCTTGACATGCTAATTAGAAAAGCTAGCTCCCAGTTTGTCCCCTTAACATTTAACATGCTAACTCCTGTCTTAAAAATAGCAGCAGCACCACGGCGTGCTTCCTTTGAGGCTGAGCAGCCGGGCTTTTCTGCAGCGCCGGAGGAAACGACTGGCTAACGTAAAGTGACAGCGTGGAAGAGCCCACAGGGCCATGGGCATACATTAGCATACTGTCAGTACGGACTTAAACACACACACACACATACTGTACATACACACACACTCAGTCAGAGCAGAATTAAGCCCTTGGGGTCAACACATTCGCTTCAATATAAAATCTAACATATGGCCGGCTAAGCGCTGTGTCTTTGATTTACGTAAGTGGACGATGGAGCGATCTGTTTTTTACACATCACTTAAGTCGGTTATTTCTGGACTGCATTATGGCACCACAGGCTGGGGTTAATTCAGTTAGCATTTAGTCACGTTGTATTTCAAATTAAAATGACTTTCAAGTCTTTGGGAGCAGTAAATGGATCCAGTCAGCTCAGCTTGTTCTCGGATGATTTCCTCAAGGCTACATGTCGTTCTTTAAAGAGATCAAAAATGAAGTCACAGTTTGCTCTGTTTTGTTTCTGTCATTCATTTAGACCAAGGTCCAAACAAAGCCATGCAATGTGTTAAATATTGTTAGTTTTGGGGAAATAAATTCATGTTTCTGTACGTTTGTGTTGAAAATCGAATCAAAATAATGTTTTCAGCAGTATTTTCTTAACATGCACGCTTTGTTGCTTTATGTTTCAAATAAGCCAACATCTGGTCATAATGGTAGGCTATGCTTCAGGGAACTGAGGAAACAATATGATTCAGAAAAGAAAATCTGAATAATTGCTGCATGACTCTATTATTTAGATATTAGGCAGTTTCTTTTTCCAGTGTTTACCTTAAAATCGACCCTGCCATGCCCCCAAACCACACTGGAGAGATGTTATGGTAGCTGTACTGAAAGAAAAATCTCCTGCTTATCAAATTATTATATATATATATATATATTATAATATACAAGGACTTTATTGCCTTACATCTAAACTGTACTGAGGTGAAAGAAAATGTGCTGTATTTATATTGTGCATTATTTTTTAAATATGCAGGCACGCACGCACGCACGCACGCACGCACGCACACACACACACACACACACACACACACACACACACACACACACACACACACACACACACACACACACACACACACACACACACACACACACACACACACTCACACTCACACTCACACTCACGCGCACACACACCCATAAGTCTGTGTAATGCATTACTCATACATGTACAAATACTTTGCGACAGACTGGTAACATTTAATCACTTATAAACAGTGATTTAACTATTTTTAAGTGATACTTAGGGATTGTTAGTCAACTATTTGAGCAAATTATTTAATATGCATTGGATTAGACAACTAATATTCCCTCTGGATTGTTTTTAAGTTGTCCTCTCTGCAGTTTCCTTGCTTCTTAATATCTATTTTAATTAAACAAGTCTGCAACCCAACCGTATTCCCTGCATGTTGTTTCCTTATGATCAGCAGATTTTAGTCTCACCGCTGCAGCAGCTTTCTTTTCTCACTTGGCTCTTTAACTTTAATGTCCCTGTCCGTGTGTTTTATCTTCAGGGCCTATGTGGAGAAATACCTGCTGGAGAAATCTCGTCTGGTGTACCAGGAGCACAATGAGAGGTGAGCGGGTTTGACTGAAAAGAGGAAGGGGAGGAAATATCTGAATACATCTGTGCACTGACCATTTCATTACGTAGAGACATCTGACATATGTTGTGTTGACATGTTGTTACCTTACTCATTCAACACAGTTTAGTTTTAGTTTTCTGACATACTCTCATCGGGAGATTTTGTCCCAAACTTCTTTTTTGTTATTTGTGTGTAGCTTGTAACTAAAATGACAAAAAATATGATATGCACTCTTGTCTTTTGTCGTACCCTTAAATACAATTATCTTAACGTCACATTACCATGAACATCTGTTGAAACCATAAACTTCCTTTGTAAATACACATTTCTTTCCATTAAACATCTCAAATATAACCCTAACCCTGGTACAGCTATAGATAATAAGAGAGAAGGACAGAAACGTGAAACATCGAGTCATATTCCTTCTTGTTGAGAAATAATATGTCAAATCCATATCTCTTCACGGATGTGATCTTTGTCTCAGAAACATAATACTGAAATAGCCTTCACTTCCTCTTCGAGCTGAGCACATACAGTATATCAGGTGTCCATCTGAGATACGCCTCTGCTCTCTGCTTTGTAAGTTAACACTGCAAACTATCACGTGTCCCTTTGAGTTCAGTCATTTAATTACACAGCAGAACTATTTTGGAGAATGAGAAACTCCTTTTGTGATTTCATCTTTTCTATGTGTTCAGTTTCTCTGTCTGCTCTCACTTCTTGTTTTATTTGCTGCACATCCTCTAATGCAGCACACACCTATACATACACACATAGGAATCGCCACCTGTACCCACACCCCTAGAAGAATGGTTATTCTCTTACACCACATACTCTTGTCTGGGTCTGCCTCCGTATCATTCAACAGTAGAAACAAACAGAAAAAGACCCTCAGATCCCACCAGCGTAATGTTTTTTTACAAGAAGGAACCGAAACATTGTAAAAGCCTCCGCCGGTCATCTAATCCCTCTCACCCTGATTGGCCCTGGGTCTCCGTTTCATGCTGATGACAGGCCCTGGCAGCCATATTGATAGAGGGTAGAAACTGAAGACGGGACCCCCCAGACGAAGCACAGAGGTGGGGGAGAAGACGGAATGATGATGAAACGCAAACTATCTTAAATCTTAAAACTCTCGCATCATGACAGGTTGCCTCTGTTCGACCTTTAGAGGAGGAAAATAAAAACTAGCTGCGCTTTCCAGCTGTGAGGCTTTATGGCTCTCAACTTAGATGCTGGTTGGTTCAATAAAAGGCTGTCAGCAAAGTGTGGTTCCGTCTGAAAACATAAGTGGTATGTTTTATTTTTAATATATTGTGTATACTTCTGTCAAAGTCAAAGTCAGCATTATTGTCAAAATTACTACATGTGTGTTATACATCCAGAAATCTTGAGATATCGCTTCCCACAGTCCCACAGTGTGACATGTATACATAAAACAAAACAAAAAGGGCCTAGAGATAAACGGAGTATGCAATTTAAAATGTTAATAATATATCTAAAAAGTTCAAAGTACAGTTTCAGTTCAGTAGCAGCGGAGAGATGGGCAGAAAAGTGACTTGTGTGTGTGTCACTGAGGATCATTAACAATACAATACAATACAATTCAATACAGCTTTAAAACCTCCAGACCAAAGTGCTGTACAGTCAAATAAACAAAGAAAAAAATAGAAAGAAATCACACAGCTCAGCTCACACACCATAAAACAAGTACAAGTTAAAACAATAGACAATTTAAAAGCAATAATCTAAAAGATGTCAATACGCCAAGGAGAAGAGATGGGTCTTAAGAAGCGATTTAAAAACAGATTGTGGTAGAGTTGACATGATTGAGCAATCTCTCACATCTGTACGCTCAATATGACCACCAGCACCAGCAGCCAGCTAGCTTAGCTTAGCACAAAGAATGGAATCAGTGGGAAACAGCTAGCATGGCTCTGCTGATGGTTATAAACTCAGCCTGAAGTCAAGCCCTTTGACGGGTCAGCACAAATCTTTTTTGGGGTCAAGGGCACTGGTTTAGGTTTTCTATCCATGTCAGTAATGGATGTGTTCGGGGAAACAACGAGTCCCCTTTGCCCTGAAAACACTGTAATCATTAAGAAACCTGATCTGCACATGTCAGCATTCCTGTTTACTGCTGGGACTTCAGACCGGCCGCCAGCTAGGGAACTATTTTAGAAGCTTATTCAGTGTTTGTTAAAATTAAGGTTTATTAAGAGTTACTTCTTAAGGATGATACAATGTATTGTTTTGAGAAAGGTTTGAAGTTTACACAGGAAGAAAGCACATCGTAGCATCTTCATGAGGTCAGATTTCCTGGTTAATCGTAGCTGAAATAACAGCAGGAGCAATGACGGTGATGAAAATCATACATTTATCAATCATTTATAAAACCTAATATCAGAATTATACACGTGTCATATGACCCTCTCTATCCTTAGTAAGCACAAGGAAAAACCAAACAAATAAAAATTGAAGGGAAACAGAGACTAGACATCATTAGATGTATGTGCGTAAATAATCAACAACATAATAAAATACACAAAGAATCCAAATGACAAAAAGTATAATGTGACTGTGTATGAAAAAGTGGATCCAAAGGAAGGATGTCAAAAAAGAATCAAAGTTTCGCCTGAAAAACTCCTGGGAATATATAATATTTAGTATTGTATTAAAATGTAAGCTCTACTCGTACTACATCTTAGTTTTTAATTAAAATCATCCTTCTCCTCATCCACCAATTACAGATCGAGATTCTTTAATATCCGCTCGGGGCTTTCTAACTTTCCACCACTCCATCAGACTCTAAGCGTCCCTGTGCAGAGAAGAGAAGCTTGTTTCCAGATGTAATCAAATTACTTCTCAGCATTTGTCACAGAAGCTCATCTCCTGACCTGCAGCCCACACAACACACTGCCGCTTTGTCTGAGTTGAAATGTGAGCATGTGGGGTTGAAAAGGTGTGACTTATTTGTTAAATGCTACAGGATTTAGTTGCGGAACAGGCGGCAAACAGATGGTTTTCACTGTGCTCTTATACAAATCTTTGAACAGACTTTTTCTCCCTGAGGCGCCGTTTCAGAGGAGCGAGGCGACGTGAAAGCTGCCGTCCTCACTTCACCTCTGATGGAATTTAAAATGATTCAAGAAATCAATAAAGAAAGTGGTTTCGTGCTGTAGAATCATACCCTCTAACTTGTGTGTGTGTGTGTGTGTGTGTGTGTGTGTGTGTGTGTGTGTGTGTGTGTGTGTGTGTGTGTGTGTGTGTGTGTGTGTGTGTGTGTGTGTGTGTGTGTGTGTGTTGTGTCTCTCTAGGAACTACCATGTTTTCTACTACCTGTTGGCCGGAGCCAGTGAAGAGGAGAGGAAGTCCTTCCACCTGCTCAAACCTGAGGAATACCACTACCTCAACCAGGTGCGCACACACACCAGAAACACACTGTTCAGTACATATAGAAATACAAATCTCTGACATATGTTAATGCCTTTCTGATGTGTTAGCTTTCAAATAAGTAAAATCCTGGTTCTCACACCATGACAAGGAGGTAAAAAAGCTGCTGCACAATGCCAACTCAAAGACACAAATGTTATTCTTGAAATCAATCCAAAGCAGCATACACCAACGATGATAAACCAACAGTTATTTGTATTGAATCAAAAGCCTTTTTAAGGGGAAATTATTCTGTGACAGTAAGAATAACAAGGTCATTGAGCAAGACATTAAATACCTGACTTCTAATTTGTGTGAAAATATTGTGTTATCATTACCTTGTAGTTAATCTTGTCCCTATATTTAAACTCCAAATATATTCAGATTATGATAACCCTAAAATTAAAACGTTTTTTTCTTGTGAAGCAAAAGCACTTTACCGCTCACTTATTCTGTGTATACCTAAGAGACTATTTCCAATGTGAGGAAATTGGTGAGTGCCACAAATCCTCCTAAATCACCCATAAATCGCCACATAAAAACAAAGTGGATCTCACAAGTGACGTTTTAGTTTTACTGCTCTACGAAGAATTCATTTCAAATGGTAATAACAATTCCTCTCATTACAAATAAAGAACACTCATCGTAAATGCCATACTTCATTATTGATAAATGAGGCTTGAAGTAGAGAGATTTATGGACGGTGAAGATGATTATAGCAAATTCAGCATCTTCCTTTCCCTCCTTTTCTCTCTTCTTTACTCATTTATCAAAAGTGGATCACTCCTCTGAAGTGTTGATCTCACTAGCCAAGAAATGTCAGCCCTGCATCTGTGTGTGTGTGTGTGTGTTGAGGGTTGTGTTCACGTGCCAAAAGCCCATATGTGTGCATTTTTCTCGGTACATCTGTGTGTGTTGGCAGCAGATGTGTAAGACTCAATGTCCCTCGTCCTATATCAGTACACTTGGGACACACACAACAATCCAAAACAAAATCTCCTTTGTTCTTCTCTTTTGGCGTCCCAAAAAAGTAACGTTTTTGTTTTTCGTACCCTCCGTTAATCCCCAATGACAACAACAACACCCCCCCCCCCCTCATCCTAACACCCTCGTGTTACCATGCAGCTCTGTTTCCATGGCAACCGCACATACTCAGGAGTTAATCTGGCGTTGACTTGCTCTCGTCGTGCACAGAGAGCGCCGGCGGTCGCACACACACACACACACACACACACACACACACACACACACACTCCTGAAACACATGGTGTCACAGTGGAGCAAAATGATTATCCATATTTATCTCTCAGTGTTCATCTGTGTCTTCCTGTCAGTCTCTCAGCAGTACATTCCCCCGTCTCCTGTAATCCTTAAATAACCAACATTTTAGATAATAATAATAATAATAATAATATAAATTGTAAGTAAGTGTTGCTCATTGTGATTATCCTACAGAGGATTCTCACCTGAATCTGCAGCTTAGTTTAACAGATCTTTGTGCGAGTTACAACTCATTGTTGTAAGTAACAATGTAATAATAATGTAATAACTCTCACCTCTCTTATTATGTGCTGTTATCGGCTTCAGCGGGGCTTTTTTTCTTTATTGAAATAACTCTTAAACCCACTTCACACTTCCTCACAACAAACACACCCAAAGTTAGCTAAGAAGTGCCATATCAAATGTCACATGTGATTAGGTAATGTTGAATCCAGCGTTGCAATGGCTGTTTCCGGACCAATAAAAAGTAGTTTAAAGAGAAGGATTTACTGAGCTGCAGACAATATATACTAAAAAAGGTTTTGATTATTAAATATGTGAAGGATTTGAATGTTTATTAGATATTTGAAGTGCCTGTACTTTACTTTACGTACTCAATGTTATGTTGACCGCTTTTATGCTTTATTTTAAATCTACAGTTACTATTTAACTTTTGTACAGTATACAATAAAGTAAAAATTATCAACCAGCTAATACAGTAAGGTGCCAGATAAGTGCATACGTAATAATGAAAACGTCTATGCTTTTACTCAAGCAAGATTTTGATCGCTCCGTTTCTGAAACTAAAGATCACATAATGAAAGAAAGTCAGTGACATCATTGAAGCAGTTTTCATAAACCTCTGGATTCAATGACTGCAGCTCTGGAGATGTGTGTGTGTGTGTGTGTGTGTGTGTGTGTGTGTGTGTGTGTGTGTGTGTGTGTGTGTGTGTGTGTGTGTGTGTGTGTGTGTGTGTGTGTGGATGGATGGATTACTAATTTGTTCCTCACATATTAACAGCATGTGTCACTTTTCTCAGTGTGCGTTTTCTTGTTGTGTAATTCCTGCCTTCTTAACCCGCTCTGCCTTGCTTCCAGATGACAAAGAAATCGCACAAACTCCACTGGGACAATTACTATGAGAGCGACCTGGTCAGTATCCTGTGGATGACGACTCGTCTGTGTGTGTCGTTGGGTGTGTCGTTGTACTCTGGGTTTTTGGTGCCAGTCTTGTTCTCGTTCTCTCTCCGCTGTGCACACTGCTTTGGAGCAAAGACTGAGGTGACCTGAAGTGACCTCAGCGGGTCACACTCAGAAAAGAAAACGTTTAAAGGGATCCATTTATTGTAAAGACTTTAATACGGTAATTGTCTCAAGATATTTATCGATATTTGTTATGCAGTATCTCATTTAAATTGAGGTGTTAGTCAAATTTGACACTTCATTTGGATAGCTATAGGTATTTTTGTTGAATTTCCTTATTTGAACATTCAAATCGGAGACATATCAGAGGTCATCTCCTTTTAAGATAAGAAGAATTTGACCTCTTGAATCCTAACTTCTTCTTGAAACAAAGCTACATAACTATATATCTTCAGTATGGTAATAAACTAAATAAAACTCAAACATAAAGGGATCCCTTTAAACTAATATTTGGCTTTGGATGCTTTGCTGTCGGGATTTTATGGAAAATATGTTGAATCTGGGACCGGCTGTCTTTAAAGGGAAGGTTCAGGATTTCACTTTAAATGCCATATTTGGATTCATCAACTGAAATATAAGAAAACAGTGCAAGTTAATGTAATTTAGAGAAAGTAGAAGTTATAGGGTTATTATAAAAAAACAGCCATTAGCATAAGGTTGAATACAAGAGCAGAAAAATAGGGAAAAGCTGTGAACGTTATAATAATGAGGTTTATTTGGACAAGGCAGTTCAAGAAGACTGCAGATAAATGGCATATGGATTCACAAACAGATGCAATGGTTCTAGAGGAATTTCCTTCAATTAACTTTTCATTTGTAATTGTATATATGTCAGGTATAAGTCTGTAGGAATCAATACTTAAACTAAATTCCCAATATATATTTGAAAATAATCCAATAGTTTAAAAACATAATCAAATATAAACAAACCCTTATTGTCAGGACTGTCACATTTAATTATTTAAAAGGTTGTAGTAGTATCTGCCTAACAGTAACAACTTGTTTGCCAAATCTTAGGTTTGCATAAGCAGTAACTTAATATAGCTATTGTTCGGCTGAATGAAAGTGAGCAGTGAGGCTTGGATCAATAAGATACAATTACATAAACTGGATTCCTCTCGTGTGTCGATATGTAACCAGAATCCCCGAGCTAGGGAATAGTGGATCCTGTTATTACACAATGCACTATTTAAAGATTTATTGACAATGAATGTTAACAAAAACAGGGTTTGATTTGAATGATTAAATAGGTACAAAAATATATACAGAGGAAGGTCATTTTATATCTGAACAAACTTTTACTATCAAACCTTTCTGTGAGGTATAATCAACCAGGATTTAAAAGTTGTACAAATTCAAATTACTACTTGTTGTTTCCTAAAAGATAACTTCCTTACATGCATGTTTGTTTAAAAAGTGATCAATCACATCCTGAAACTTCCCTCTAAGTGTGTGGTCCGTGTGTGTGTGTGTATACCGTTCTTTGAGCCACTGTCTCCACCTGTGGTGAGTGATGTTTGGTCAGTGGGATATGTTGTGTGTGGTTAAGGGATTCAGTATCTACTAATAGGAGATTATGTTACTTTGACTTTGCCGGCGAGCAAACACTTGAAATGAGAGTCGGTCAGAATAAATACGACTCATCTGTTGGTCTTAGCTCTTGATTTTGGCTCTTTCTCCCCCACTTCTTTTTATTCAGGAAAGGTTTTCTGAGGACACTCTTAATGTGCAATATATCCTGTTTCACATTCATCTAGTTAAATGAGTTTTGCACATACAATCTGTTGTAGCCTTTATTTAACCAGGTGAAAGCCCCTTGAGATCAAAATACCTCTTTTTCAAGGGTGACCTGCTGGACATTAGTTACACATGTAACATCAAAACAACAGAACAACAATAAGGATGACATACAACATAATGTTCAGTTTACAAACTCTATTTACAGTGACAGGTACCATGAGTATCAAACAGCATGCCACCCAGCCCAGTTTCAAAATGATGCAGGGGAACCAAAGTGCTCACTTTTAAACATGTTTGCAGACTGTTCCAAGTTAGTGGAGCTGCACAACTAAAAGCTTTCTTCCCTAAGACAGTCCTAGCACTTGGCACATTTAATAAAACCACATCATGAGATCTCAGGCAATAAGTACTTTCAATTGGTCGAGAGATCAGAGATCAGATCTGTCTTTTAAATATCAAATACTCCCCATTATGCACAGCTCTGATATTCTGTCGTCCGTAGGGTTCCCAGGGTTCACAATTGATTTAATGTCAAGGCAACAAATGTGTAGACATTACATATCATTTGTTACATACATTAAGTACTGTAGGGTAAATCCCCACAGGAGCGATTTGGGGGTGAAGTGTCTAGGACAACAACGACATGCTGACTGCAGTGGGACTCGAACTTGCTATCCCCTGATTCGAAGTCCAGCTCACAATCCACTGGAGCCACAGCTCCCTTAGACATGCTGGTCTGTGTACATTTTCTTAAAATCACTTTGACACATCATTGCAATTGAAAGTAGGCATTTATTAACACATTTAGGATTTTCTTCTAACATAGCAACAATGCAAATCAAAAGGCTTATGCTGAGGATTTTCGAAATGTCCTTTTGATGTTGCTTTAATTCTTATTTTTCATTGTCAGTTCCTCGTTAAAATTATCAAACTGTTTCAGCCATTGTGAATCAAAGCAGCTTCGTTCCTAAAAAGGAGAAAAGGCTACACATCTAACGTTTCTAAAAGCAGCCTATAGGACAGTTTAATTTGATAGGTCAAAAAACAGATTATCAAAAAACGCATTATTTCAAATAAAACTTCAGCATTATAAAAATAACTGAATGTAAGACTTGATTGATGCGTTCATTTTTAGAGCTAAAGCAATGATGTGGTCTCTAGCCTAGCTTAGCATAAAATAACTTACCTGGCTGTTTGTAATGCTGAAAAACGACCCATACAAACTTTTTAAGGAGTCGTTTTTACAGATTTTAGTTTTGTTTCGTAACACAAAAATGTAAGAAAGGTTCTATTTCTGTTTTTAGTTGGAGTGACACGATACTTTCACAATGTAGGCCTTCTAAAATATGCTCCACATGAGCAATGGGTGCAGATAGAAATAGACCATGTAACTCCGTCAAATCACTTAAAAAAAAATACCATGTTCATGTATTGATTAAACGCATTAAGCTACAAAACATCATGCTTATCAATGTCAGCTTTAGCAAACCAGGCTAGCTACTTCCCTCATTCTTTAGCGTTGCTTAGGCTAACCCACGCCCTGATCCCATATATGTTCTTCATGATTTTGAATGTCCTATCCTCTATTTTATTTTAGGCATCTTCAAACCTTTTTTCTTATATGGGCTTTGTTTTTATTTTATAGGTTATATAATGCCTTCTTTCTTTTTATTTTAAGCTGTTTTGAATTGTTTTGTAGTTACGTAGGGGCCACAACATGGAAATACATTTGCTTTAATGTATCTCTCATGGACTCATCTACACACTTGCAAAGGAAAGCCTATAATGTTCCTAA